TTGCTCTGGAAAATGACAAATTTTTGGGCTAAAATAACGCAAATTTGGAGCTAAAAAACCCCAAATTTTGGGTCCAAACCTCCCATTTTTGAGTCTAAAAAACATCAAATTTTGGATCCAAACCCCTCATCTTTGCGTCTAAAAAACCCCAAATTTTGGGTCCAAACCTCCCATTTTTGAGTCTAAAAAACATCAAATTTTGGATCCAAACCCCTCATCTTTGCGTCTAAAAAACCCCAAATTTTGGGTCCAAACCTCCCATTTTTGAGTCTAAAAAACATCAAATTTTGGATCCAAACCCCTCATCTTTGCGTCTAAAAAACCCCAAATTTTGGGTCCAAACCTCCCATTTTTGAGTCTAAAAAACATCAAATTTTGGATCCAAACCCCTCATCTTTGCGTCTAAAAAACCCCAAATTTCTGATCCAAACCCCTCATTTTTGAGTCTAAAAACCCCAAATTTTGGGATCAAAACCCTCATTTTTGCCTCTAAAACCCCCAAATTTTGGTCTAAGAAACCCCAAATTTTGGGTCCAAACCCCTCATTTTTGGATCTAAAAAAGGTCAATTTTTGGGTCTAAATCCCCCAAATTTCTCCTCGTTGCCCCCACCCCACCAGGGCACCAACATCGGCGCCGGCGCGGCCGTGGGCATCGTGGTGGCCACGGGCGTCAACACCGAGATCGGCAACAGCCCTTCCGTTTTGGGTCCAAAACCTCAATTTTTGGGTCTGAATCCCCCATTTTTGAGTCTAAAACACCCCAGATTTTGGTCTGAAAAACCTCAATTTTTGGGTCCAAACTCCTCATTTTGAGTCTAAAAAACCCCAGATTTTGGGTCCAAACCCCTCATTTTCTCATCTGAAAACCCCCAAATTTTGGTCTGAAAAACCTCAATTTTTGGGTCCAAACCCTTCATTTTTGGCTCTAAAAACCCCAAATTTTGGGTCCGAACCCCCCATTTTTGAGTCTGAAATACTCCAAATTTTGGGATCAAGTCTCTCATTCTTGAGTCTAGAAAACCCCAGATTTATGGACCAAATCTCTCATTTTTGCCTCTAAAAACCCCAAATTTTGGGTCCAAACCCCTCAGTTTTGAGTCTAAAACCCCCCAAATTTTGGGATCAAATAATTCATTTTTGGCTCTAAAAACCACCCCCCGTTTTTGGCTCTAAACAACCCTCCAGTTTTGGGATCGAATCTCTCATTTTTGGCTTTAAAAAACCCCAAAGTTTGGAGTCAAACCCCCCATTTTTTGGTCTAAAAAACCCCAAATTTTGGGTCCAAACCCGACATTTTTGAGTCTAAAAAACCCCAAAGTTTGGGCTCAAATCTGTCTTTTTTGCCTCTAAAAACCCCAAATTTTGGCATCAAAAACCTCATTTTTGAGTCTAAAAAACCCCAAATTTTGGGATCAAATAATTCATTTTTGGCTCTAAAAACCCCAAATTTTGGGCTCAAATCTGTCTTTTTTGCCTCTAAAAACCCCAAATTTTGGCATCAAAAACCTCATTTTTGCCTTAAAAAACCCCAAATTTTGGTGTGAAAAAACCGCAAATTTTGGGATCAAATCTCTCATTTTTGTGCCTAAACCCCCCAAACCCTGTCCCCCACCAGGGCACCAACATCGGCGCCGGCAAGGCCGTGGGCATCGTGGTGGCCACGGGCGTCAACACCGAGATCGGCAAGATCCGCGACGAGATGGCGGCCACGGAGCAGGACAAGACGCCGCTGCAGCAGAAGCTGGACGAGTTCGGCGAGCAGCTCTCCAAGGTCATCTCGCTCATCTGCGTGGCCGTCTGGGCCATCAACATCGGCCACTTCAACGACCCCGTGCACGGCGGCTCCTGGATCCGCGGCGCCATCTACTACTTCAAGATCGCCGTCGCCCTGGCCGTGGCCGCCATCCCTGAAGGTGACATTTATGGACCGTTTGTGGTGATTTATGGGATTTTGGAGGAGGTTTGAGGCGGTTTGTGGGGTTTTGAAGGAGGTTTGGGGTCATTTGTGGACCCTTCGTGGTGATTCGTGGGGTTTTGGAGAAGTCTTGGGGTCATTTGTGGGGTTCTGAAGAACATTTTTGGTCATTTGTGGGGTTCTGGAGAAGGTTTGGGGTCATTTATGGACCGTTCATGGTCGTTTTTGGGGTTTTGGAGGAGGTTTGGTGAGAGTTTGTGGGGTTTTGGAGAAGGTTGGGGTCATTTATGGGGTTTTGGAGGAGGTTTGGGGTCATTTGTGGACCGTTCATGGTCATTTTTGGGGTTTTTGGAGGAGGTTTGGGTTGGATTGTGGGGTTTTGGAGGAGGTTTGGGGTCATTTGTGGACCGTTCATGGTCATTTTTGGGGTTGGGGGAGGTTTGGGGCGGTTTTGGGGGGTTTGGGGGGGGGTTGGTGTGGGTTTGTGGGGTTTTGGAGGAGGTTTGGGGTCATTTATGGACTGTTCGTGGTTGGTTTTGGGGTTTTAGAGAAAGTTTGGGGTGATTTATGGGGTTTTGGAGGAGGTTTGGGGTCATTTGTGGGGTTTTGAAGAACATTTTTGGTCATTTGTGGGGTTCTGGAGAAGGTTTGGGGTCCTTTATGGACCGTTCATGGTCGTTTTTGGGGTTTTGGAGGAGGTTTGGGGTCATTTATGGGGTCTTGGAAAAGGTTCGGGTTGGGTTGGGGGGTTTTGGAGAAGGTTTGGGGTGATTTATGGGCCATTTGCTGTCGTTTTTGGGGTTTTGCAGGAGGTTTGGTGTGGGTTTTTGGGGTTTTGGAGGAGGTTTGGGGTGGTTTTTGGGGTTTTGGAGGAGGTTTGGGGTTATTTATGGACCATTTGTGGTGATTTGTGGGGTTTTGGAGAAGGTTTGGTGTGAGTTTGTGCGGTTCTGGAGAAGGTTCGGGTTGGGTTGTGGGGTTTTGGGGGAGGTTTGGGGTCATTTGTGGGCCATTTGTGGTCATTTTTGGGGTTTTGGAGGAGGTTTGGGGTCATTTGTGGGGTTTTGTGGGAGGTTTGGGGTGGGTTTGTGGGGTTTTGGAGGAGGTTTGGGGTCATTTGTGGACCGTTCATGGTCATTTTTGGGGTTTTTGGAGGAGGTTTGGGTTGGATTGTGGGGTTTTGGAGGAGGTTTGGGGTCATTTATGGGGTTTTGGAGGAGGTTTGGGTTGGATTGTGGGGTTTTGGAGGAGGTTTGGGGTCATTTATGGGGTTTTGGAGGAGGTTTGGGGTGGTTTTTGGGGTTTTGGAGGAGGTTTGGGGTTATTTATGGACCATTTGTGGTGATTTGTGGGGTTTTGGAGAAGGTTTGGTGTGAGTTTGTGCGGTTCTGGAGAAGGTTCGGGTTGGGTTGTGGGGTTTTGGGGGAGGTTTGGGGTCATTTGTGGGCCATTTGTGGTCATTTTTGGGGTTTTGGAGGAGGTTTGGGGTCATTTGTGGGGTCTTGGAGGAGGTTTGGGGTCATTTGTGGGGTCTTGGAGGAGGTTTGGGGTCATTTGTGGGGTCTTGGAGGAGGTTTGGGGTCATTTGTGGGGTCTTGGAGGAGGTTTGGGGTCATTTGTGGGGTCTTGGAGGAGGTTTGGGGTCATTTGTGGGGTCTTGGAGGAGGTTTGGGGTCATTTGTGGGGTCTTGGAGGAGGTTTGGGGTCATTTGTGGGGTTCTGAAGAACATTTTTGGTCATTTGTGGGGTTCTGGAGAAGGTTTGGGGTCATTTATGGACCGTTCATGGTCGTTTTTGGGGTTTTGGAGGAGGTTTGGTGAGAGTTTGTGGGGTTTTGGAGAAGGTTGGGGTCATTTATGGGGTTTTGGAGGAGGTTTATGGTCATTTATGGACCATTCGTCGTCATTTTTGGGGTCTTGGAGGAGGTTTGGGGTCATTTGTGGGGTTTTGGAGGAGGTTTGTGGTCATTTATGGACCGTTCGTTGTCATTTTTGGGGTTTTGGAGAAGGTTCGGGGTCATTTATGGGGTTTTGGAGGAGGTTTGGGGTGGTTTTTGGGGTTTTGGAGGAGGTTTGGGGTCATTTATGGGGTTTTGGAGGAGGTTTATGGTCATTTATGGACCATTCGTCGTCATTTTTGGGGTCTTGGAGGAGGTTTGGGGTCATTTGTGGGGTTTTGGAGGAGGTTTGTGGTCATTTATGGACCGTTCGTTGTCATTTTTGGGGTTTTGGAGAAGGTTCGGGGTCATTTATGGGGTTCTGAAGAAGATTTTTGGTCATTTTTGGGGTTCTGGAGAAAGTTTGGGTTGGGTTGTGGGGTTTTGGAGGAGGTTTGGGGTCATTTGTGGGCCATTTGTGGTGATTTGTGGGGTTTTGGAGAAGGTTTGGGGTCATTTATGGGGTTCTGAAGAAGATTTTTGGTCATTTTTGGGGTTCTGGAGAAAGTTTGGGTTGGGTTGTGGGGTTTTGGAGGAGGTTTGGGGTGATTTATGGACCATTCGTGGTCGTTTTTGGGGTTTTGGAGAAGGTTCATGGTCATTTATGAACCATTCGTGGTCGTTTTGGGGGTTTTGGAGAAGGTTTGGGGTCATTTTTGGGGTTTTGGAGGTTTGGGGTCATTTTTGGGGTCTCCAGCTGACCACCATGAGCCTCTGACCACCACCCCGATGTCCCCGATGTCCCCAATGTCCCCAAAGTCCCTTTTGACCCTGGTGGCCGTGGTGACACTGATGTCCCTGGTGTCCCCGGTGTCCCTGATATCCCCAATGTCCTCCATGTCCCTGATGTCCTCGATGTCCCCGGTGACCCTGATGTCCCTGATGTCCCTGGTGGCCGTGGTGACCCTGATGTCCCTGTCACCCCCGGCATCCCCAATGTCCCCAGTGGCCTTGGTGACCCTGGTGTCGCTGGTGTCCCCAATGTCCTTGATGTCCCCAGTCTCCTCAATGTCCCTGGTGTCCTCAATGTCCCCAATGTCCCCGGTGTCCCCGATGTCCACGGTGTCCCTGATGTCCCTGGTGACCCCGATGTCCCTGATGTCCCTGGTGGTCGTGGTGTCCCCAATGTCCCCGGTGTCCCCGATGTCCACGGTGTCCCTGATGTCCCTGGTGACCCCGATGTCCCTGATGTCCCTGGTGGTCGTGGTGTCCCCAATGTCCCCGGTGTCCCCGATGTCCACGGTGTCCCTGATGTCCCTGGTGACCCCGATGTCCCTGATGTCCCTGGTGGTCGTGGTGTCCCCAATGTCCCCGGTGTCCCCGATGTCCACGGTGTCCCTGATGTCCCTGGTGACCCCGATGTCCCTGATGTCCCTGGTGGTCGTGGTGTCCCCAATGTCCCCGGTGTCCCCGATGTCCACGGTGTCCCTGATGTCCCTGGTGACCCCGATGTCCCTGATGTCCCTGGTGGTCGTGGTGTCCCCAATGTCCCCGGTGTCCCCGATGTCCACGGTGTCCCTGATGTCCCTGGTGACCCCGATGTCCCTGATGTCCCTGGTGGTCGTGGTGTCCCCAATGTCCCCGGTGTCCCCGATGTCCACGGTGTCCCTGATGTCCCTGGTGACCCCGATGTCCCTGATGTCCCTGGTGGTCGTGGTGTCCCCAATGTCCCCGGTGTCCCCGATGTCCACGGTGTCCCTGATGTCCCTGGTGACCCCGATGTCCCTGATGTCCCTGGTGGTCGTGGTGTCCCCAATGTCCCCGGTGTCCCCGATGTCCACGGTGTCCCTGATGTCCCTGGTGACCCCGATGTCCCTGATGTCCCTGGTGGTCGTGGTGTCCCCAATGTCCCCGGTGTCCCCGATGTCCACGGTGTCCCTGATGTCCCTGGTGACCCCGATGTCCCTGATGTCCCTGGTGGTCGTGGTGTCCCCAATGTCCCCGGTGTCCCCGATGTCCACGGTGTCCCTGATGTCCCTGGTGACCCCGATGTCCCTGATGTCCCTGGTGGTCGTGGTGTCCCCAATGTCCCCGGTGTCCCCGATGTCCACGGTGTCCCTGATGTCCCTGGTGACCCCGATGTCCCTGATGTCCCTGGTGGTCGTGGTGTCCCCAATGTCCCCGGTGTCCCCGATGTCCACGGTGTCCCTGATGTCCCTGGTGACCCCGATGTCCCTGATGTCCCTGGTGGTCGTGGTGTCCCCAATGTCCCCGGTGTCCCCGATGTCCACGGTGTCCCTGATGTCCCTGGTGACCCCGATGTCCCTGATGTCCCTGGTGGTCGTGGTGTCCCCAATGTCCCCGGTGTCCCCGATGTCCACGGTGTCCCTGATGTCCCTGGTGACCCCGATGTCCCTGATGTCCCTGGTGGTCGTGGTGTCCCCAATGTCCCCGGTGTCCCCGATGTCCACGGTGTCCCTGATGTCCCTGGTGACCCCGATGTCCCTGATGTCCCTGGTGGTCGTGGTGTCCCCAATGTCCCCGGTGTCCCCGATGTCCACGGTGTCCCTGATGTCCCTGGTGTCCCCGATGTCCCCAATGTCCCCGATGTCCCCAATGTCCCCGATGTCCCCAATGTCCCCGATGTCCCCAATGTCCCCAATGTCCCTGATGTCCCCGATGTCCCTGGTGGCCCCAATGTCCTCCATGTCCCCGATGTCCCCAATGTCCCCGGTGTCCCTGATGTCCCCAATGTCCCTGGTGACCCTGGTGACCCCCAATGTCCCCGATGTCCCCAGTGTCCCCGATGTCCCCGGTGTCCCTGATGTCCTCAATGTCCCCAATATCCCCGATGTCCCAAATATTCTAAACGTCCCCTGGATATACCTGCTGTCCCCAACATCTCCCATGTCCCCTCTGTCGTGTCCCCGATGTCCCCAATGTCCCCAATGTCCCTGATGTCCCCGATGTCCCTGGTGGCCCCAATGTCCTCCATGTCCCCGATGTCCCCAATGTCCCCGGTGTCCCTGATGTCCCCAATGTCCCTGGTGACCCTGGTGACCCCCAATGTCCCCGATGTCCCCAGTGTCCCCGATGTCCCCGGTGTCCCTGATGTCCTCAATGTCCCCAATATCCCCGATGTCCCCAATGTCCCCAATGTCCCCGATGTCCCCGATGTCCTCGATGTCCCCAATGTCCTTGATGTCCCCGGTGTCCCTGGAGACCCCAATGTCCCCGGTGTCCCTGATGTCCCCAATGTCCCCAGTGTCCCCAATGTCCCCGCTGTCCCCGGTGGCCTTGGTGACCCCGGTGTCCCCGGTGTCCCCGCAGGGCTCCCGGCCGTCATCACCACGTGCCTGGCGCTGGGCACGCGCCGCATGGCCAAGAAGAACGCCATCGTGCGCAGCCTGCCCTCGGTGGAGACGCTGGGCTGCACCTCGGTCATCTGCTCCGACAAGACCGGCACCCTCACCACCAACCAGATGTCCGTCTGCAAGGTGGGACCCCGGACCCCAAAACTGCTCCTGGGGAACCCCCGGGAACCCAAAACTGCTCCTGGGGAACCCAAACATTCCGTGGGAAACTCAAAAAATTCCATGGGAACCTCAAAAGTTCCATGGGAACCTCAAAAGTTCTTCTGGAGAACCCAAAAATTCCATGGGAACCTCAAAAAATTTCATGGGAACCTCAAAAAATTCCATGGGGACCTCAGATTTCTTCTGGAGAACCAAAAACTTCTTCTGAGGAACCCAAAAACTGCTCCTGGGGAACCCCGGGACCCCAAAACTGCTCCCGGGGAACCCAAAAATTCCGTGGGAAACTCAGAAATTCCATGGGAACCTCCAAAATTCCATGGGAACCTCAAAAGTTCCATGGGAACCTCAAAGGTTCTTCTGGAGAACCCAAAAAATTCCGTGGGAACCTCAAAAGTTCTTCTGGAGAACCCAAAAATTCCATGGGAACCTCAAAAGTTCCATGGGAACCTCAAAAGTTCTTCTGGAGAACCCAAAAATTCCATGCGAACCTCAAAAAATTCCATGGGAACCTCAAAAAATTCCATGGGAGCATCAAAAATTCCAGGGGAACCTCAGATTTCTTCTGGAGAACCCAAAAAATTCCGTGGGAAACTCAAAAAGTTCCGTGGGAATCGCAAAACTTCTCCTGGGGAACCCCAGACCCCAAAACTGCTCCTGGGGAACCCAAAAATTCCATGGGAAACTCAAAAAATTCCATGGGAACCTCAAAA